CTCTTGTCACTCTGTAAATACTACCTCTGGCAGCATGTATGTGAAACTCTCTAAATATGCTGTTAATCATCTCTCTCCCTCATTGCTTTATAGCACACACTTGTTTGGTTTTTGGTTTTTTTTTTTTCTTTCTCATAGGGTGGTCTACAATGAAGTCATACAGACTGCTAAATATTACATGAGAGATGTGACTGCCGTGGAATCTGCATGGCTCTTGGAACTGGCACCTCATTTTTACCAGCAAGGAACGGTACGGAATCAGCATAAAGCCCAAACGGTACCATTGCTGTATTAACAGCTCTTGTATCTGCACTTTTTAAGTGTTTATGCTTTGTTGTTGTCTATTTAATGGTACAAAAATGAATTTGGTTTTGTTCATTGTAGTGGTTTTAATATGAAGAAAGAGGATAATAAATTGATGCATGAAAGCTTTTTCCTATTATCCAGCCAACAGACGTGATTTCAAAGTTACAAAATAGCGTATTACTCTGGTAAATGAAGCCTTCAGCCGTTTTACACTTGAATATAGGCACTTGGTAGCACTTCTCTGAGGAGCACTATAGCTAGGCAGTGGTCATACTTTGCACAATAATTTTAGAAGAGTCTTTGCATGCTTTGCAAATGTTTGTGCAAAGCCTGAGCCTTTTTTTGAGCATTAATTATATTTACTGCAAAAAAATCAGCTGTGATCTATTCAAACTTATTCAAACAGCAAAGAACAGCTGCTATTTGTGCAAACCTTTATTGCAAATTCTGTTGTGTGTGATATACATACCTTTTCTTTACAAGTGTCTTTTAACAGTTGTCACCATCCTTTATCAACTCTGACCCATGTGAATCCGTCAATCTAGACTTATTCACTGGTCATTCTGAGAACTGGATTGGTGTTAAATATTACTAACATCTAAATGTTAGTTATGCTGGAGCTGTTGATACCACATTGCATGTAAATACTGTACAGGCAAGATTGCCAAACTGATCTTGCATGTGAATTTCCCATGGGAGATTAATAACTACTGAGCTTTATATTCTAAATCAGTGAAGTATTTCCAAAATACTGAGTGAAAAAATACACTTGTGTATCAGACCTATGCAATACAGGAGATCTGTTCGTGCATGTGAGCAGCCATGTTACAAAAATGGCTGTTCCTGATTTACACGTCTGCTATGCTATTTGACTTTTCTGAGAATCTGATGTTTGTTTTCTTTCACTTCTTGGGGTTTTTGGAAAAAAGGAAAACACTGTGGTGCATGGAGCATCTTAGGACATACCTCTGTGGTTACAGTGTACACTGCATTGCCATCTGTCCATGTAATTGACTTGAGAGGGTTAGTTTTTTAATGTTGAGCTTGGATAATTCATCTCAGCTATCCAGAGACTTACCATCTATAAATGCACTTACTAAGTAGCTGAATATTTTCTGCCTTTTTTTCTATAACGCATTTGACAAAGGCAGTAATGACCCCTGCAGGGTAGACCCGAGTCTTTAGCTGCTGTTAGACATTCTGCAAGCATGGTGTAAAAAGAAGATGAGCCAATGTTCCAGTTGTATCAAATCTGCTCTTGGAATAATTAGTCCTTTTGACTCGCCTATTTACGTGTTGTAACATCCCATACACAACACAACATCCCATTATGATATGACTTCTCCACAGGCTCAATTTTGGGGTGAGGTTTTCCTTTAGGTAGGTGGTGTTGGGGAATGTGACTCAATGACTTGTTCAGGCAAAACTTGAGTTGCTTTTTGTAGTGAAGAAGGCTCGTCTTGAATAGTACTACCTACCTGACTGAGAGAACATGTTTTTCAAGGTAGTACTACTATTGTTGTAGATATTCTACGAAATTACATCAGAACCTAATTTTAACCATTGCCATCCTTTTGATTTGATAGAGATGAACTTGGTTTGTGGCATGACCTAAGCATTGCTTTCATCCTAAAATAAGTGGAAGCTCTGGAGGATAGTGCTGGTTTTGAGGAAAATTATCTTTTCCAGTTTGGTCAGTTATCCTTATTAGCCAAAAGGCTTGGGTGTCTTTATAAAATGTTTAAAAGCTAGAAATGTTCCTGTTGTGTAGAGCTTTGAATTATACATGTAAATTTTGAATAAGCAAGCCATTACAAGACACACAAATTTTTGCTAATTTATAGACATTCAGACCCTTTTTCTACTGAAGGATACATCTTTGTGCTAATAAGAGATTCCTGAAATATGAGAATCTTTATTCCTGTATCAAGTTAAAAACAAATTACAACTGCAAAGGATTCTGTGTGAAAAGATATTCTTCTCCAGCTTGATTGTCAGTCAATTGTCTCAGTCAATTATGTTTCATTCCAAATTTTGCAGGACTTTCTTTGTGTTTTCATTCCATGTTTTTGTAGGCCTTTTTCTTTAAGAGCATAGAGGTTCAAAGGTCCAATGCAACTACAGCTGCAGTGTTAATACATTAGTTAGTCTTGTACTTCATGTCCGTACTCCTAGTGTTTATGCACATGTGTTGTTGGGAGCACATATCCCTTCCTGCACATTTTTACAGGCTGGCAACTTGCTTCCAGTGGGAAATTGTTCCTATGCTTGCAGTTAGTACAGGAGTAGTAGAAGATGATATTTTTTACCAAGCCAGAATATCACTTTGGGATACATGTGGTTTTTTGATTTCATAGGTTTATTTTAGCTATATCAGTAACAAGCAGAGCTTGGGAAGGGTGGTCTTTGATATTTGTGTAAGAATTTGGGATTAAAGACTGAAAGCATTCTAGCTGAACGTTTTTCTAATTTTGTATATGCTAAGCAATTTTTCTTTTCTTTTCTTGCAGCATCTTTCCTTGAAAGCAAAAAGGGCTAAAGTAGATGACCACTGATTTGACATGACTGAAGTCTTGTGACATCAGATGCAGAACCTACCAGTGATTTCAAGCTGGCTGCAGTCCATTCAGCAGTCAGTTCATTAGCAATTTGATCTTACATCAACTTAAATGTTTAAATGCCTGCCAGGATCTCTAGGGGTTTATGCATGACCAGTACATTGTAAACCTATGTAGAGCTTGTGTTGTGGACATTTCATTCTTTGCCTACTTGACCACTGTTGTTAATCTGGGCATGTTGCTCCTTTTAAATAGGTAGAAAAACAATTTAAAAAGTAAGAGGACATACAGGACCACAAAAAACTGAACCTTCAAGAAGGAAACTGATTTCCTGGTGTGGTACAACTGCCTTACAAGAGTGGGGAACAGGGTACCCTGCCTCCTGCTACCTAGAGCACTGTGACTACTACCGGCCAAACTGAGACTGACTCCTGACAAGCAGGAGCTCAGGGCAATGAAGTAGCCCTTGAAATGCAAGGGGCTGCCACGGAAACATTGATTTCATGTTGGACCATCCCGAACTGGTGCAGTTTGTGCCCCCAAGCAGTAAGTCTCCTGCCTGAGGTCGAGCTGCCCCTGGCTCCCTGTGCTGTAACAGTCCTTCTGTAGGTAGCCTTGTATTAAAATGTCTTGTTTCCATACATGAGAGTTGCTGTTTGGGGAGGGGGAGGAGGAGTAGCTCAGTATTTTTAAGAAGGATTAATTTTTTGTTCAGTCAGGGGACTATACACATATATTCACAAACAAACAAATTCACAGATGGGACTTCACTTTTTCGCCCCCCCCCCCTTAACAAGAGAAAAGATGTTAGCCTCTCAATGCTTGGAAATACCCGAAAATTTCAGCAGGGGTATTTCATGGAACACTGTTTTTTAGCCTCTGTCATTTGTCAAAGATGAAAATGTTCTGTAGTTTCCTATAAGGAACACAGTCCTCTATATTTCTTTTATTTAGAATCTGTTCTTTGCTACTTGGGACTTTTCTTCATGTGTTACTGTAAGAGAAGAGTGCTCTGAACAGTTGCTGCTTTAATCGGGACTCCACGGCTACTTTTCAGTAGGAACTGTATGTTTTGTGTTTTAACAAGGTAGCTTGGATACATGTATTTATTTTTTCCAACCCTATTGATATTTATTTTAGAAACACATTGTTTGAAAATTTTATTTTTGTAAGGCAACTGATTTGATGAATGTGTTTTTGGCATGTTAACTATAATTTTATTTTGTTTTAAAAAAAAAAGTATGTAAATAGGCAAAAATTTCTACATAGAACAAATGCCTTCCTTGTCACAGGACTGCCTTGAAAACTTTCTTGAGAGCTTCTTTACCTTCTCCCTTCCAAACACCCTCAGAGAGAACATGTTCTGTCATGTGCAATGTGTGGTCTATTCAGTGTCTACGTACTGACTGCCAGCACAAAAAGATGTACCCGTCTCCATGTATGGCACCAGCAGCATGACACCATGTCACCTTCCTTGCTGTTTTCCCCGTGAACCTCACCTTTGTATTACTCTCTCTCCTAGAATGGAAGCTCTTTGGGGCAGGGACTGACTCCTAGCCAGAGCTGAAAGCAGCGTTGGCACTTACTAAAGAGATACAATTTGCGATTTTTTTTTTTTTCTCTTAAAGGATCGGAGAAAGAGCTGAATATGAAGACTTGTAAAATATTTGTGTCTCTCTGTCCTCTGGAAATATTCTTAAGAAAAATAAAACCATTGAATCAAGGAAGCTTGAGAATGCATCACTTCAGCCTGAGTAGCGGGTGATTTCCCAGCACACTGGGTGGTTGTACTGAGCTGGTCCGAATTGTGATGGGCTGTCAGTGGATGACCACTTCATTTGCCAGTTCTGAGACTTTCGGGTGGTTCTGGAGAACGCTCTCCTCCAGATATACTTTCACCTGGCTGTACATCTGCAAAATTTTGACTTGGAATGATTCTAACTCCTGCTAAGTTAAGAACCCACCGAGGTGAAAGCTTTGTAACATGCTGCAAGCAATTGTACTTTTCTAAGAATGAGTGCAATAGGTCTTCGTAAACAAAAACAGAAATTGAGACTTGTTTTTCAGTAGTTTCACAAACTATTGAGGTATTGCCAGAGGTGCAGAACAGGCAGACTTTATACTAGAGATGCAGGCTAAGAATAAGTGTTTTTAGTATCCATACAGTTACCTTTAGAGAGAAAGCACTGCTTTCATCGGAAATGTGGACCCTTTGAAGGTGTTTGAAGACAGAGACTCAAAACTTGAAAGACCTGAAAATCTCTTTACTTTGTAAAATTTTGGCCTACAGCTCTCTGCTAGATTTTTACATAGCATTATGCTTTAAATAACTTTGATTAAGGAGATGGGCAACTGTACCTTGTTGGCTCTTTGCTGCATAAACAGTCTGTGTGCTATTTTGAGGAGGTTGGAGTCATTTGAAGATGTTTGTAAAGGAGTTTATGAAACAGTTTAAGGATTTTAAACGTGGCTTTTAGAGAATGAGGTTAAACTATTAGGCTCTTGAATTAAAATGTAGCTTGAAATAGAAGTCATGCCACCACTGGCAAGGAGATATTTTTTAAAAAAAGTAAATTTACAATCCATTAATGTCAAATTACTGTGGGGGGAAAAAAAGAAGCTATACTCCTGAAGTCCAACAGAAAGTGCTCTCAGTGTTTCTACTCATGACTTTAGTATTGTCAGTTACAGAATAAGGTGAAGCTAAATTGGAATAAAAATTCAGCCAAAACAATATTAGTTGAAATATGTTTCTCATCGTGTAGACTAAAAATAATTCTGATAAACTGATGGAAAAACAGTCAGAACTCTTCCTGGTTAATCTGAAGAAAGAGACCAGTAATTAAAAGAATAAAATTTAAAAAGGGAAATAAATAAGGGAGAGTTAACTGCCATTTCTTCTCAGTGCTTTATGACAAAAATGCAATGTTCTCTAAAGGTACATCAAGGTAATGTGATGTATTTTTAAGCTGAGTTAATTTTATATATGCATTACAATAAGCACATTACAGACAGGCATCGGGGAAAAAGTGGTAAGTCAGGTAGCGTGCGTCTTTAAACCAAAAAAAAAAAAAGTAGTTTACCAGAATCAGATATCTGTGTGACTCATTCTAGATCTGGTGGTTCAGATCTTTTCTGGCTTGTGGGCGAGTGCAAACAGTGAATGGTTTCCTGTTCCAGCAAATGGAAAAACAGGACGGAGATGCTAACATGGGGAGAGTGTGGAGCAGCATTTCTGCGTGAGGGAAGAGAGGACTGCGAGACACTAGAAATGTTCCAGAAATTCCAGCTGTATTCTGCAAAGACATTTCTGATTACGCGGAGGGCTGGGCTTCTCTTGATTCTGTCGGGAGCCTTGGTCAAAGGGAAGGAGGCAGAGAAAAGAGCAGAGAAGCAGAGAGCTGTCTGCAGGGGAGGTGCAAATAGGTGCAGGGTTTCTTCATCGTCGGTTCACATGGTGACTCTGCTTGTTTACTCCTCGATTGCTGCTGAGCAGGTGGTTACCGAGCTGCTGGCTTGGTTGGTGGGAAACTAAACTTCCAGAAACTGATTGGGAATTAATTAGCTGAGCCAGTATTGCTATGCTTGTCCCCTTTACGTGACTTTTGTGATAAAACCCCTGACCAGCAGCCCTGGAGCCGAGGACCGGACTGCTTGTTCGTGGGGCAGGCAGCTGCTGGTGCAGGAGCACAGGCACGATGGCTGCAGTGCTACGGAGGCTGTGTGAGGCTGGGCTCAGCCATCCGCCTCGCCACTGTGTACCCAGACAGTATACCATCTTCGGATTTGAAAGGCGATTCTATTCTGAAATGTAGTTGTCAAAACCATTCCTTATGTTTCAGCTGCTTTCTTTACCAAGGAAATTTAGCTGTGTCTGTTTTTTCCACTAGCCCTTCAGAACCCCCTCATTTGGGAGCATCAATGTGCATCGGTAACTGTTGTCATCCCCTCATTCTGGTAAGTGTCACTTACTGGACTACTTGATCACTTTTAAGCAATTCCGTTGGAGGTAACTTGGAACCAGTGTTTATTACTGTAATTTCATAACTTTATATTATTCTTTATCAAGTGGCCGTACTATCAACAATCGACAAAGAAAGTCAACAACACAACTCGGCGTTCAGAGTAAGTTCCTCTACTGGGACCTACAACAAACAAGTTGCAAGATGAAGGGAAGTGGCATATGGAAAAACTGTCCGTACATCCATTTTCTGGTCTGTTCTCAGACTTGCAGAGCTTTTGTCCTTGAGAGCTTGTACGGGGTTTTTCTTCTGTCAATTAATAACTTAAACTTTCTCAGAGATATGCATTTTTGGCTTAAAACTGACTGCATTTTGAGAAAGGTGCCAGTAGATGGCAGGCATCAGTTTCAAGTAGTAGTATCTTGGGGAACAAATAATTGGCCAATTCTTAAGAGTTTTTCTTTCTAATTAAATTAGTTTAGTGATAAGTGGGATGAGGAAGGGTAAAGGAAAAAGCTATCGGTAGCTGTGGGATAAAGTCAGTATTTGAAGTGCAGAGATTAATGAAAAAGCCCAGAGTGCTGTGTGCCCCATTGGTTTAAAAACAAATAAAATGCCCCAAAAAACCAAAAATCCCAACCAATAAATTCTATAGCGGTTCTTTCAATTACATACCGAGTCATAAAAATGGCACCTTTACTGTAAACTGTGGCTGGAGGTCTGGCGGAGTGTGCTGGGTGGGGGATGTGTTAATACTGCAAGGAGATTGACAGCATTTATCACTGGCTTTTATACTTAGCTTATCCAGGTGACCAACCATAGTTGAAATTAAAAGAGGTGTTTTTCACTTTTTTGTAATTACTTCCAGCTACAGCTCTCAGCATTTCAATAAACTAAATTTTGCAGCCTTCTTGGCTAATAGAAATACTTTTGTAATAAGAAAATGAAGAGTTAATACAATCCTTCAAGTTCAAAATTCCAGCACGTGGGCTCTCTACACCCACAGAGTTCCTCCTGCGGAATCAAAGCCTAAGGCTGGAGCGATGGGCCCCATTACCAAAAGGTATTCCCTGGAGGTTTACCAAAGCGTCAGTCTAAGGCTGCAAGACTTCTGGGTTACTTAGACCTTCCGTCTTTCCCCACATTCTTTTGGTATCTCACTTTGTAACTAAGTTAGGTGTACTGAAATGCTCTTCTAGTGCTCAACTGGTGAAGCTGTCTTGGTTGAAAGTCAGCATTAACCCTGTGGATTTTCCTCTGTGAAATACTGGTAAACTAGTAAGTGCCTCCTTCCAGC